AAGGCACCAAGGCCAAGAAAGCAGCGGCTGCTGCAGCAGCTACAGCTGGTCCGGAGAGTAAGCCGGCGGAGGAGCAGCCGCCACGCGATGAAGCTGAACGCATACTGGACGAGATTTTAGCCGACGGTGAGACTCGTTCGCCCAGCTCCGAATATCAAAATCTCTTCAATGATGAAAAGTCACCCAGTGATCTCTCGGATAAGATCGAACGTATACTCGAAGAAACGGGCCTCGATCTTGAGCTGGGCTTACCCCGGCGCAATAGCAAGAAGCTTCAGAAAACCAAGTCGCTCGGCGAAGGCGACTTTGATTTACAGCCCAAGCGACTAAGTGGCGTCCAAAACATACTCAAACGCTTCGAATCAATGAGCTCCGTCAACTCGCTGCAAAGCGATGAGCAGGCATCCTTCAAGCTGCGTCGCATGGAGTCCACCACCAGCAATATGAGCAGTCTGAATCGTTCACGTGAATCCCTGGTCTCTGCCAGCGATTCCATGAGTGACCTGGAGAGAACTATGGACTATTTACGCAATGAATGGCGCAACGAGGCGACCAATTTCCTGCAAAAGAAACGCGATAGATTCTTTGCACAAAAAGAGGAACAACAAAAGCAGCTGGAGATAAAACCAGAGCCATCGAGGGGACATGATTTGCCCGTGCAATATCGCGACTCCAAGCTGGCCAAGTTCTTTGGTCTGGCGCCCCGCAAATCGCCTGAAAAGCGCAAATCACCCATTAAAAAGCAAAAATCGCCCAGCAAAAAGAAAACCTCACCGAGCAAAAGCCAAAAGACAGCTAAAGCTAATAATTCACTAGAGGAGCTGGCCAAGATTAGCAATGCCCGACAGGCAAAGCAAGCGCAAAAGACGCCAACAAAAGCCGCCGGGACTGTCAATAAAATTGAACGCAAGATCGAAGTGAAACCCGTAAAGCCAGCCACTCCAGTGCCGGATGACTTCGAGATTTTGGATTTGCTAGATAAAGCCACAGCGGCCAAGGAGCTGGAGCGCTCCCAGACAAAGAGTCCACTCGTGGAGGATGTTCCGCAGCAAACAATTGGCGAAGCCGTTAACATAGAAACTGAGACTCCTCCGTCGCGTACTGTTGTCGAGGATATTAAAAACTTGCCCAAGACTGGCTGCGATAAATCGTTAAACAGTTCCCGGCGTGGTTCTCAGTCCAGCCTTGTGCTCTCGCGACGTCAATCGGACATTTCTTTGACAGAAAAACTTAACCTAGATGCGTTGGAGGCTCTACACAGCATCGAAATGGAGCGCGATGTCGAGCATGTCGATGAGGTCTTTCAGAGTATGGTCGAGGCAATGGACCAAACGCCAGACATTGCTGTGGATGACGATGTGGATGCCGACTCATTATGCACTACTATCAGCAAGAGTCCCAGCGCCCAACCTATTACGGTCGTCAAGCGTGGCAGCTCCGAGGAGCAGAGCATCGAACAGCTGTTTGGCAACTTTTCCGATGAAATGCTCGTGAATGTGGAGTTTGATTCCAATGATGAACTAATCGGTATTACCCCAAGCGCCAACCCGATTGCCGGAAGCTCCGAGGATCGTGATATTGTTGACAAACTGGATTCACTAGAGCGCGATGAAACACCCGTTAGCAGGATGCATGAGGAACCTAATCGGTTTATAAACAAAGAAAATGCTGGGCTGGACGAGGTGGATAGTGCTCATTTTCCGGCACGCCCACAACGCAGACAAAAAAGCAGCTCTTCGTCCAGTGAACCCACTCTGCCAGTTGCACCACAACGTCTGAAAAAGAAATTGGCCAAGTTGGATCCAGAAGACATGCCGCCTTCGGTGCAGGATTTGCTGCAACAACTGCACGCAAAAACTCTGCAGCCGGAGAAGGAAAATATGCAGTCTGGCGTTGCTGAGGAAACGCTTAAATTCCCAAGACTTCTTCAAGAGGAAGAGGAAGTGGTCGATCATGCAGGAAAGGAGACACCTAAGCCCAAAGAAAATGGTTTGGATAAAGTCAAGTCCGGTCCAATACCAGAAATTCTAATCGAACAGCCACAAACTCCGCTCACAAAATCCTCTGAGAGCCAAAAAAGTTCAACTAAAAGTGAAAACTCTTCCCGCAGTAGCCTCAATGAGGCACCGAAGCTGGTAACGCCACCAAAGGTGCGCAGCAAGGAGAATTCGCTCGACTGGGATATGGAGAAGCTGCCCGCCTCACCCATGCCCCGTCGCAAACAGCCCCTGATACCAACCAGTAAGGAGGGCTCTTTGGAATGGGACATGGAGAAATTACCCAATAGCCCAATGGCTCCGCGTCGTCGCTTACCCATAAGCAAACAATACGATGTCTCTCCCAGCAGCTCCATTCATCTGCTCAATAATCTTTCTAGTGTTAATGACGATGCGGCGAGGGCGGAGGAACGCCTCATCCAAGAATTTGAGCGGGAACGCCGTCAGGCACTTTTGAAACGCGATGAGAGCTTTGAGGCAGCAGCTGCCGAGCAGCGCCGTCGCGATTCGCAGCAGAGCAGCAGCAACTCCAGCGGTAACTCCAACGGCAAGCGGAATCTGCCGCCACCCACGCCTCCACAGACAAGCGTTCGACGCGGTACCACGCAGGCCAGCAGCAGCCGGCGAGAGTCCACCAAGCGTGAGGGCACGCCTCCCATGTTTAAGAAATTAGATTTGGGTGACGACAGCAACTCGACGCTGGACTCCACGGCGGCATCCACGCGACGCAGCTCATTTGCATTTATAGAATTACAGGATAATAAGCCGGTGATTGTGCCCATGCCCAAGAAGCTGCACCTGCCCAAGCTGGAGGCACCAAAATATGTGCCCGAAGTAAGCGCAGACAATGAGCCAGTGCCGGAAGTCTTTAAGGATCGTGTCTGGCCAAAGCAACACATGGCAGGACTGCATCCAGACAGCGAGGATGAAGATGAATCAGAGCAAGAGCTGATGAATAAATTGCCCGAGTATGCACGTTCCGACTCGCCGCCCTGTGCTGCTTTTGAGAATCGTCAGTGGCCAGATGGCAAAACCGTTTTCGAGCAGAGCCAACGCAGCGATTCGCTTGAGGCAGATGATGTGCTCAGCTTGCTGAATTCTAAGCGACGTAGCAACAAGAGATTCAATAACAAGCCACGCTCACAGTCACCACAGCCGTTTAAGCCACTGGCAGCCAGTGCTCGCCAGGGCTCCAAATCCATTAGTGATCTCAAAACTGGAGCTCCTGCGTCTGCGTCCATGCAATCACTATCAGCACGGTCCAGCCAGGACACAGACACGCGCTCGACTACAGCAACGGTGGCTACCTCGCGTCCATTGAGCTATGTCAACTATGATGAGGGGGTGGATGCCAGCACGCGGGCACTGCTCGATCGTAGCAAGCGGCTCCACAATCGCAAACGCGACTTTGTCAACGACCGCGTCGTGGAGCGAAATCCCTATATGCGTGATGTCATACGCAGCACGGAGCGGACTAAGGACTACGACTTCGAGCCGGATGAGGAGCTGTCCAGCTATAGGCCCCGTCACTATACCAGCAGCATGCCAGCAAAGACTACGCCAACAACAAGTCGCTTTCCCAGCTCCATCTCCAACTATGCGCGCAGTCCAGCGCCACGCAGCAGCTATGATTACCTCAGCAATGCGGGAAACAGCAGCGACTACCTCAGCAGAAGACCCTACTCGGCATTGGGTGCAACAAGTACATCCAGCTTTTATCCGAGTACAGCAGCAACAAGCAGCACACATCTCAGCGATCTATTCAGGCGACGCAGTCCCGCCTCCATGTCCAGTTATGGGCGCAGCGATTACGGCCTGCCCGTCAGCAAAGAGTCGTGCGTTATCTCTTAGTAGTTTTGCCTTAATTTCGATCAAAAACAGCTATTTCTCTTTTATATATTTAACCAAAATCAACAACAAAAACAACTTTAGAAGACGTCTCAACTATTATCTATACTGAGGCCAAATCGAACTCTAGACCTCAGCAAAATGCGAAACCAACACATGACCCCCAAACAAACTATTTCCCCTACCCAAGAACCCAACAAAAAAAAAAACACGCTAGGATATTATGTGGGCCAACCAACCAACCTGGTTCCCAAACCAGGCTCAGTCCGCACAACGTGTTCCCAATCAACCGAAACAACCCAACGCTAGCCCGCCTGCCTGTCTGCCAAGCCTACAACTAAGCCAAGTCTGTCCTGATCTTGTTGAGTGGATAAGATGAAAGAAAGAAAAAGAGAGAGAGAGAGAGTAACACCTTTGTTAGCCAATTCGTTTAAAAAGCGTCTGGGTACGATCTATGAAGGTAAATTCAATCAAAATTGTACACGAAATGTTGCGCTAACCCCTGAGCAGCCCGAGCAAAAAAAGTTTGTAGTTTCTAAAACCATAAATAGTCGAAATTGTTGTGCCGTTCGCTCTGTTGTCCAGTCGATGTATGTGCCCCTAACCCCCGTCCTAAGCCCATAAACACTAACGCCAGATCTAACCCATGTCTCCCGAATATGCGTTGTGTTTCGTTCGTTTTTTATTCGTATGTACCTTTCTGGATCGTACCTAAAGGCATGATGCTGCTGCCATTGCCGCTGATGCTGTTGCCCCTGCTGCTGCTGCTGATTAACCTAACAACAGTACCAACAACAGTCCGAGCTCTGACTAATTAAGCATGTTTGATAATCCAAGTGATAAAAATAAATATACTGCCGGACTTGGGATCTTGCTGATCTTTAAAGCACACGCCTTTCTTTTAATGCTTTTTGTTTATATGTTCTTTTGCAACGTTTTTTGTATTTGTTTTTCATGATCATCAAGATATTTAAACACTTTTGGCCAATGGCTCTAATTGCAGGTACAAACCGAATCCGAGAGCACATCGCCCGACGAAGTTGAGCTTAACTCTGCAACAGAAATATCCACCGATTCAGAGTTCGACAATGACGAGATCATACGGCAGGCACCAAAAATCTTTATTGACGATACACATCTAAGAAAACCCACAAAAGTTCAGGTAAACAAATAAATATTCAGTTAGGAATTGAAATTTCAAGTTCGTTGTATAGAAAGACATCTACGACATTTAAGGATAAATACATTTCTGATCGACATCGAAAATTGAGTCGATCTCAGAGACTATTAGAGCTAGAGATCCAATATGCTATATGTAAATACGAAAGCAAAATGTATTTTATATTTATGGTAACTTACTCCCTTCGGTTATTAGAAATCCGGGATCGATTGTTAGCCCCTTTGTTTTTTTAACATAGCTGGGAGAATATTAGAGCTAGGTTTAGGCTCTTCTATAACTAATACAAATCAAGAACACTTTACCTTCTTTACTTTCTCCGAAATCTAAAAAAATCACTTTTGGTATATGCACACATTTGAATGCCATCTTAAAGCACAGATAAATTCAAAATGATCGGAAAATTATCTGAAAAGTAATTGAATATTGAATTTTTGGTGTTGTAAGTACGTGTGTAGATGTGTAGATGATTTAAAAGTTGTTCAATAATCAGCAATTTACCCATATATGCCAATACACTGTAAACAACTATATCATTGCCTTCCAGATCAAGTCCAGTGTGATCACAACCAGTGCATCTGGCCTCCATCAGAAGCAGCTGGCGTCGCGCGAAAAGGGCGGTAGTTATTTGCAAAAATACCAGCCGCAGCCAGCGCAGCCACAATTCAAGCCCCTGGTTCAGGTGGATCCAACCCTTCTAATTGGTAGTCAGCGAGTGCCGCTGCAGAATCCACGACCTGGTGACTATCTGCTGAATAAGACGGCCAGCACCGAGGGCATTGCCTCCAAGAAGAGCCTGGAACTAAAAAAGCGCTATCTGCTGGGTGAGCCGGCCAATGGCAACAAGATACAAAAGTCAGGCTCCACCTCGGTCCTGGACTCGCGCATACGCAGCTTTCAGTCTAACATCTCCGAGTGCCAGAAACTTTTGAATCCCAGCAGCGATATCAGTGCGGCTATGCGTAGTTTCCTGGATCGCACCAAGCTGGGCGACAATGCCCAGAATGCCCAAAATGAGCTGATGCGTTCGGCCACCAGCAATGTGATCAACGATCTGCGCGTGGAGCTAAAGATTCAGAAGGCGCCGTCGAGCAACTCCACGGACAACGAGAAGGAGAACGTATTTGTCAACAGCAAGAACGAGCTGAACAAGGGCATGGAGTACACGGATGCGGTCAATGCCACGTTAATGGAGCAGCACAACAAGAAAGGATCACCAACAACGCCGACCAATAACAAAACTGTCATCGAGGTGATTGATCTGGTGACACCCGAGAAGCCGGTGCCGTTCATTGATCTCACAGTGTTGGAGACACCAAAGAAAGCTAGCGATGTCAGCACGGAGCTGGTGGAGGTGCCTGCTCAGATCCCTGACAGCAATAAGTTAAATGAGCTGAAGCAGGAGGTCATCAAACCGGATGTATCCATGGATGTAAAGGAGTGTATACCCGATATACTGGGTGATATCAAAGCAGACAAGGAGGCATCCGGCGTAGTCGACTCAGAGGAGCAACAGTCCCTGCTCTGTCAATCCGACGAGGAAAAGCGCGATTCGCCCGAGAAGACAAACGATCTGGAGCAGGAGCAGTACGAGCAGGACACACTACAAATCCAAGTGCCCAATATACCATGGACCAAGCCCAAGTCTGAGATTATGTCCACTACCGCCAGCAGCGCCACCAGCTGTTCCAGCTCGGGTAGCTCCAGCATCGAAGACATACAGCATTACATTCTGGAGTCTACGACCAGTCCGGACACGCAGACCGCAGGCGGCAAGCACAACGTACCGCGTGTGGAAGTGCACGACAGCAGCGGTGCCCTCATGCAGGTGGACAGCCTAATGATTGTGAATGGCAAGTATATTGGAGATCCAGAGGATGTCAAATTTCTGGACATGCCAGCTGGCGTCATTGTGCCGCCGGCGCCAGCGATAAAGACAAGCGAGCTGGAGGATGAGCCCGAGGTGGAGCCGGTGACGGCTACTCCGGAGCCGGCCGAGTGTACAGTTATTGAGGCTCAAGGCCAGCCACCCCCGCTGCCCGAAATGGGACCACCCAAGTTAAGATTCGACAGCAAAAATGAAAACAAAATCGAAAGCTTGAAGAATCTGCCGTTGATTGTAGAACGGAATTTGGAACACAGCCAGGCGGTAAAGCCAATAACGCTCAATTTGAGCAGCAGCGCGGCCAAGACGCCAGACACGCCAACCACGCCCACGCAGCATGATAGCGACAAAACGCCTACAGGTGATATAAATTCCCGCGGCTCCGACTCGGAAACTGAGCCGACGGGCACCGGTCAGGTGCTAACCGAAACAGAACTCTCCGATTGGACGGCTGATGATTGCATTTCGGAGAATTTTGTGGACATGGAGTTCGTGATCAATTCCAACAAGGGCACCATGAAACGGCGCAAGGAGCGTCGTCGCAGCGCGGCAACCAAGCTGCCAAGCAGCAGCGAGGTGCTCCACGAACTGGCCAAGCAGGCGCCGGTTGCCCAAATGGAGGGCATACTCCATGCCATTGATATTGATGACATTGAGTTCATGGATACCGGCTCCGAGGGCTCCTGCGCCGAGGCCTATTCAGCGACCAACACTGCATTGCTGCATAATCGCGGTTACATGGAGTACATCGAGACGGTGCCCAAGCAGAAGACCAGCGCGGAGAAGACACACCCAAAGCCCGTTGGGCAGAGTAAGCTGCAGTCGGTGGTGACCAAGCGCGATGAGAAGTTGGGCATCGATTACATTGAGCAGGGCGCCTACATAATGCACGACGATGCCAAGACACCGGTTAATGAGGCGCCCCGCCTGCCCAGCAGTTCAGCAATGACGCAATCTCTGACAGACTCCAGCACGCTGAATGAACTGGACGAGGACAGCCTAGGCGGCATGGTCCAATCACAGACTCAACCCACCACAACCACTACGGAGGAAAGCGAGGCGCTTACTGTGGTCACTAGTCCATTGGACACTTCATCGCCGCAAGTTCTTGATCAGTTCGCCTCGCTGCTGGCCGCGGGCAAGGCGGACGCCTCCACGCCAAGTAGTTCCGAGCAGCAACCAAAAACCACACAATCCACAGTCACCACCAACAGTAGTGGCAGCAGCTCCACGCCAGCCGCTGTGCCGGCCAAGGAAACGGATGAGGACATGCAGATCCAATTCGAATATGTGCGTGCGCTGCAGCAGCGCATCTCACAGATCAGCACACAGCGACGCAAGAGCTCCAAGGGTGAGGCGCCCAATCTGCAGCAGCCAACTGTGATAGAAACTACCAATGTGCTGCAGGCGCCAGCAGGAGATGCACAAAGGACAGGCGGCGAGAGCGGCACGGCTGTGAGCATGCGATCCAGGAGCAGCAGCTCGGCGACCAAAGTACCTGAGATACCAACGCTTAATAGCAAGCTGGAGGAGATCAGCAAGGAACGCACCAAGCAAAAGGATCTCATACACGATCTGGTCATGGATAAGCTGCAGTCCAAGAAACAGCTTAACGCCGAGAAGCGTCTGCATCGTAGCCGACAGCGCAGCCTCTTGACCAGCGGATATGCCAGCGGCTCCAGCTTGAGTCCTACGCCCAAACTTGCCGCCGCCAGCAGCTCCATCGATGCCAACTGCAGCAGCCAGGCGCACTACCATGTCTCGACGGCTGCCGAACCGCTGCCTAGCCGGCCAGGCCACCAAACAAATGACATGTTCAAACAGCCGAATCCGCTACAGAAATCCGCAACTGCCACTTATGTTTCGCCCTACCGTACAGCGCAGCCAGTGAAGCGTAGCTCGGACCTCTACAAATCTCGTCCCTTCAGCGAGCACATAGACGCTGAGCAATTGAATCTGCTAGAGCGTCATAAGCTCAACAAGACGGCCTCGTTCAGCTACGGCAAGGTGGATGAATTTACAACGCCCGTTGCGCCAGTGCGTCCGCATCGCAACGGTAATCATGGTCAAAGTCAACGACAAATTGAGCAAGCCGCCGAGGTAAGCATCTCGGCCTCCACGGAAAATCTGCGCAGCGAGGCGAGAGCACGTGCACGTCTAAAGTCCAACACAGAACTAGGCCTGAGCCCCGAGGAGAAGATGCAATTGCTGCGCAAGCGTTTACACTATGACCAGAACAGCGTCATCAAGGCAACGCAGCAGGAGGCACTCTCTGGTGACCTTACAGCCCGTGCTAGAAAAATGAGCGCCTCCAAGAGCGTGAACGATCTGGCCTACATGGTCAGCCACGGCCAACAGCAGCAGCTGTGCTTGGACAACGATGCGGTGCAGCAAGCCAAGGCGGCTGACTTTACCTCGGATCCCAACTTGGCGGCCAGTGCACAAGATAAGCCGCTGAAAGTCAAAACCAGCAAAAGGCATAAGGACCCAGAGCGGCGCAAAAGCCTTATACAATCGCTGTCCAACTTCTTTCACAAGAGCAACACCAACTCGACAACGGTCTCGGCTTCCAGCAGTCCAAAGGAAATGGGCGGCACTGTAGCTGCCAGCCACTCTGAGCATGCAGAGCGTCCGGGCACAAGCAGCAGCGGCACGCCCACGATCTCCGACACAGGCAGCGGCGGTGGTGGCGGCGTCTTCAGTCGCTTCCGCATCTCGCCTAAGTCGAAGGAGAAGTCTAAGGTAAGTCAAATATTTCACATCACATCAAGCTAAATGTGATTAATTGTTGTTCGAGTCCAAAAAAAAATGCATAAAGTAATTGTACTACATTTAAAATCTTGCCGTGACTCATCAATTTGAAGCTTTATAGCTATAAGATCTTGGCTGTTAAATATTGGTGTGCGGTGTACTATTTATGTCCTTCATTTATAAACTAAACTTTTATCAACATTTTGCAGTCTTGCTTTGATCTGAGGAATTTCGGTTTTGGTGTAAGAACATTTTTACATACCTAATACTATCTAGCACCATTGTCATTTATCTCGAAATTATCATTCATCAGTATTTGTTTAACTGTTTGGCATGAGTTATATATGTATTTTAATTTCAGCAACTTTATTATTTTACACACCTATTAACTAATACCCATACTATGTTTGAATTGTTTCGGTCTGTTTAAAGTTGAACGGAGTTCAATTCAGATCGGATTAATTTATGATCTAGTCGACATTTGAGCAATATGTTAAATTTCTCTGAAAGGGTATTCATTCGTTTTCCATTTCCTCACATTTGTTATTTTTGTGTCAACTTATTTTGTAATAATTTATTACATTTCATATTTAATACCTAACGACAATAATTTTGAGCAAAGTTCATTTAAATGGCTTTCTTATTATGCATCATTTTTTATTTTACTTTCTAACTACGCTTGAAAGAATTTTTATTTACATTTTTTCGTTTTCTTTTCACAATTGCAGCTGAAAATATTTAAATCTTAATTTAAGTTTGCCTGATACCCTTTACATTTTATTTGATTTTTTAGTACCTATTTGTTTATTATTTTGGGTTTTACACACATTGCTGTGTAGGCTGAAATAAATATAATTAGTGTTTATTTTTGACTTAGGATTATAATGATCATTATGTTTTATTTTTGTTAAGTTTTTGGTTAATTAAAATCAATTCTAATATTATTCGATTAATTCTTAAGTACTTTTTAAAGGTTTAGTCTTAGTAATGCGGCAGATATTTGGGTCGTTGAAAGTTTTTTATTTTTATAAATATTTAGCTTAAGTTCATGTTGCATGAATTGGTTTTTGGACTTAAGGTGTGGCCCTCTTGGTTACGGTACATATTCCAATTGAGCTCTCCCTGAATACTGAAGCACGCTTTTTTTATAACATAGTTGTTAATAACATCTTGTTTTATAACTGAAAACTGAAAATTGTTTTATTCTTGGAATGTTTCTTTTTCGCCATGGCTGCAAACCCAAAAAATATACAACACACACACACACACTTAATTTTTAACTAAATATATTTCAATGCAACACAAAATTAGGACAAGGATATGATCACAAACAGCGCAACATTGCCAACAAGCACAACAGCAACAATAACACAAACGAAACACTCCCAAGATTACCTCAATACAACGAACAACAGTCGCTACCGAGAGCAAACGAACACCGAATCGTTCTCATCGTCCAGCCCGCAGCTCTATATACACAAGCCCCATCATCTGGCCGCAGCGAATGCCCTGGATGACCAGACTCCGCCACCCATACCGCCTTTGCCACTGAATTATCAAAGATCTGATGGTTTGTTGCTCTCACTTTACGTTTACATTTCCCAACTCCTTGTCTATCTGTCCACGTGATAAGATTTAAGAACGAATAACTATTTATATATATGTATATATCCTATATAGATGAGAGCAACGCTAACGAGACACGAGAGCATAAGAAGCAACGTGCCATATCGAAGGCTTCGCGACAAGCTGAACTCAAGCGATTGCGAATCGCTCAAGAAATACAGCGCGAACAGGAGGAGATCGAGGTGCAATTAAAGGAACTGGAGGCGCGAGGCGTGCTCATTGAGAAGGCCTTGCGGGGCGAGGCGCACAACTATGAAAAGTGAGTGTAGCAGTAAAACCAAAGATTAAAGATTATGTCTACAATAAATACAATTTAAATACAGTTTGGATACAAGTAAGGACAATGACGAGAAGCTTTTAAAGGAACTTTTGGAAATTTGGCGCAATATCACAGCACTGAAGTGAGTATGGATTAATTCATGCAAATACCTGGAAATCGTCTAATAAAGAACATTTTTATATAGAAAACGTGATGAAGAACTGACTATAAGGCAACAGGAATTGCAACTTGAATATCGACATGCGCAGCTAAAAGAGGAGCTTAATTTACGCTTGTCTTGCAATAGTAAGTACCAAGGTATATTTCCAAACTGCATTTAGTTAATACGTGTAAATTGTTTGTAGAACTGGACAAGGGCTCCGCAGATGTGGCCGCTGAGGGTGCAATACTCAATGAGATGCTGGAAATTGTGGCTAAGCGTGCGGCATTACGACCAACTGCCTCACAGGTGGACCTATCTGCAGCGGGAGCTGCCTCAATGGACGCGGGTATTACACTTACCGGGCAATCTCACGAACAGGAAGAATCGAATGCAAGTCTAAAGACACTCGAGCACATTTCCAAGCATACTAAACGAATTTTTAATACACTTACAGATTTGAATTTTAAACTTGCCTTGGGGCTTACTGGCTTACGAGTTCTGGCAAGGATTTTTACGCCTAAATACTTAAGCAGAATGTACCAAAAAGCAAAAACTATATGTAGCATAACACAAAAAAAAAAACGATGCTAAAAAACATGAGCTGTAAGATAAACGAGCAAAATAAACACCGAGTGAACACTTTGGTGGAATAGTTTATAAAAACTTAGGATGGTCACTGAAGATATTTTTTTCAAGAAACGCGCAAAATTATTGTAAAAAAAAAAACAAAAACAAATTCGTAATTAAAGTTTATGTTCAGTTAGTTTCGAGCATATTATACACAAAAATTTTAGTCATTCAATTTGTTGCAGCCCTACAAAACAATTTGATGAACTGTCTGATCTTTGTATGTTGTATTATGTTGTGTAATAAGTTAACTGTGTTACGTAAAAATGTATGTGCAAATTGTTTGTCATTTGTTCAATTATAAATGGTGTATTTGTGTTTACTCAACATTTTAGTCTACTTTTCATTTGTATGAACCATGAACGTCACTTATTTTTGCATGTAATTTTCTGCCCAACTTAAATCAAAGTGAACACAAAGATTTACACACAAATATTTTCTATACATATTTATATTCATATGTATAATACGAGCGTATAAAAAAATATATTGAAGAGCAAAGCAAACATATATTGTATACTACAAATGATTTTAATTATTATGTAATATTATTTATATTCTTTATTCAACATATTTATCGAATTTATTATGTAATTTTTTTGATTTATTTAAAACAATAAAGATTTTATGAATTGTGAGTAACGGACTTTTCATTTAAGCATCACAGTTCTGACCAATGTGGCAACTCTACTATCGTGTGTGCATTCACAATTGATAAATTTATCGATTATTTTCGTGAGGTCATGAAAATCGGAGCGGAGTGTGCAATTCGCTGAAAATACCCATCTCTATTAAGAAACAGAAAAAACCAATAATCCGCGGTTTTGCTATATTTGTTAATAGAAATCAACGCTTAAAATAGCTGTTGTCGTTAGTATAAACTGTAATTTCTCTTAAATTGGACAAAAAATGCTTGAAGAAAGGCTGAGCAAGAATTCTGATGTGCCCGAGGGGTCAATTCCAAAAACAGCAAGCAACTCAAGCACGCAGAATAAAAAACAGACACCCTGTGCGTCTGCGCAGCTATCCGCGGATGCAGAGATGGAGGAGGAACCAGCAGGCCAGCCTGCGGCTTACAGCATGCGTCCAGCATTTGGCGAATCTTTTCCGTTGCCAATTGTAAAAAGCATTATAAACAGCGTTATGGCTGAGAAACTTAAGGGTGAGTGTTTACAAAGCGAAAAGCGTCAAAACAAAGAAGCGTCGCTAAGTAACCCATAAAATTGCAGACAAAATATACGACAAGGACGTTGCCAAAATCTGGTCTCGTGAAATAGCCGACGAAGTGAATCAGCAGATCGCTGCGAGTCCCAAAGTCAAGCGTTATAAGCACGTAGTGCAGGTGATGATGGGCCAAGAGCTGGGCGCCGGTGCCACCTACTTATCTCGCTGCTGTTGGGATTGCGACTGCGACACGTCCGTTACGGAGGTGTTCAGTAATACGAGCCTGTTTTGCGTGTGCACCGTATTCGGAACGTATCAGTACTGAAGCGGAGCTGGGCAACAACTGGAGGCTTCAACAGTAAACTGATAAGCAGTGAGTTTTGTTTTAGTCATTTTTATATGCTAAATGGCCTAATTAGGATTCTTTTTAGTGCAGCTATTTATAAATACCAAAGCTATCAGCTGGACCCATATGCGAAGGTAGTTTCCTAATTATAGTAATCTTTAACCAGTAACATTGGCGCAAGAAAGAGATGGAGATTGCCATTAAGTATAAACACCTTCTGGGTCCTTGCAATTCGGTTACTTGCCATATATATAGATATATCTATCTAAGCGCCTGTATATGTACATATATGTTACTTAGACAATTTAATTTATGACAAACGCACAAACATAAGCGAACAACAATTGTGTGTAGAAAAAGTGAGAATCATTTATAAAAGAAAACAATTGCATTATTTACATTGAAATTGTACAACTTTGCATGTATGTATGTTAGGCAGGCACCGGGAAGCGAACATTGCTCCCAACTTCACTTTCAATGCTGTCCATTCGTTGACCTTCGTTGTGCACCAGTGCCTGCGGCTCATTGTATGCGCACATTGAGCGGATTGAGTATGCGGCCCGACATTACCGCCACGTCTAAGTCACGATCGATGATGAAAAACAGAAACGGATGATTAACAGAGATCTGTATGGGCTTCGTTTGGGCGCCAGAGTTGCCTGAGCAAAAAGGAAATAGTTATTGCACATTTTTAATGCTGCTGCTGCTGCTGCAATCGAAGTTGCAGGTGGGGCTGGCTAACACCTCGATCTCTATCTTTAATGCGTTGCGCTTCAATGCGTCGAGGTGTGCTGCAATGCTGCAATACAGCAGATACTTACGTTTAAGTTGATTGATGGGATGCGTTCGAATATTGACATCAATCGATTGCTCAATGTGTCGCACATAGACGCCTTTCTCGTCAGTCATGGGTCGGAAATCGGCGCGATTCGGCTCGAATATATCACAGCTGCAATAAGAAAGAATTATGCAGAAAGTAAAAGTCCGAGCCCAAATGATCTATAGAAGCTGCCCAGTCTGCTTACATGCCCATCTGCAAAACAACAAGTGAAGCATATGAATAATCTGTTTAAGGATCTTCCCTAGTCGCTTACATTTTGTAGATCGTTGGTCAGGAACATGGTGCCGTGTAGCTTGAAGTCCGGAATGATAGCCTGCACCCAGCGTGGCTTCAGCTGTTTACGCATCAGACGCAGCGTTGGTCCCAGCTTCAGCGATGCGGCGGCAGCCACAATGTCCATGTGGTAATCAGGCAGCAGTATCATCAAATTATACTCTGGTGTGTCCAGCTCGAGCTCCAGCACGCTCATCTTCAGATGCTCGAAATATTTGTAATATAGCACCGCATTGTACACTTTGAAGGTGGTGTGTACCACCTGCTGGCTGCCCAGATAAAACACATGGCTAATCACATCCGTATTGTAGTTCGTTTTGGTCTCCGCCCCCCCTTCGCTGATGTAATGCGGCTCAAAGTCATTGGTGATGTGCGCAAAGGCAGCTGTCGGTGGTATGGGCAGAGGATGGGGTGGTCCATGCGGCGCATGTGGATTGAAGAGCGCCACAAAGAGATTAGCGTCCAGATCCTTATAGCCCAGAACGTGCCGCTTATGGCGGGACCCATTCGATTTGCGAGCATTGCTTGCCGCCGGCGTTGCTGCAGTTGTGGACATTACTTGACGTACGCCGAACGTTGACGTTGTCTTCCTTTGCATGGGCGCTGTCATTTGGCGCGCCATCATGGGCATAACGGCAATGCGTGCGCTGGGCAGATAGCTGGGCTTTGGCGTTATGGGATTGGTGTGCTTGAGCGGCGCCTGCAATTTGCTGGTGGGCAGTCGTGAGACACGGGCCTTTTGTATGCGGAGAAACGGTTCGGCGTCCTCCTCAGCTACAAATGCGGACACCAGTTCTGCTGCCTCATCCTCGCCTGCAACTTCAGCTGTAGGCTCAGCAGTTTCGGCAGAGGTGGCAGTTTCAGGTGCTTCAGTCGTGGTTGTCTCCGCTTCTGTTGTAGTTGTTGTCTCCTCTGTTGTGGTTGTGGTTGTCGGCGTGGTTGTTGGTATGATGGTGGTTACTTCAGTGCTTGTTGTTGTGCTGGGCAGCTCTGTTGTTGTTGTGTCTGTGTCGCTTGGCGTACTGGTCTCAGCCAGCATCTCCTCAGCCGTTGCATTGCTGGCCATTGTGGTATTGGCCATTTCAGCATCCGCTGTGACATTCGCTGGCGTTGAGGAAGCCATATCAACACTCAGATCGTAGCCATAAAACATAAGCACAGTCTCAAAGTCCTTCAGTACAGTTACATTGCTCCTGCTCAAGCTGAGTCCCTTGAGAGGATTATCGGAACCGAAGAAATATGTCTGCAAATAATTGAGTTACAACAAACAATGCCTATCAAAAGAATCCGTTAAGCGGCTATCAATTATAAATTCTATTCATGCCCAAAAAATTCGGCCACTCATTGCCAATTGTTTGGATTGGACTAACAATTGGGGTCAATAAACTTTTGGGAGCTTGTTCAGTCACATTTCGGGCATCGATAGGTTGATTTTGCCTGGGGCACAATTACATATGATATGACATATTGATATCAATACACATATATCTGACCCAGAGCGCTGCGACATGGTATGCTTTGTAATTTGCTTTATCAATCAAGTGTACGTTGGAGGGGGTGTGGGGAAGTGGATTACGGACCCGAAAGTGTGTTTAACGATGCATATAAATTTCGGTTGGGGAAGCTATAAACTAATCGTGGGGAAGGGCTCACCCGCAGTCGTCGGTGTATGTCGCGGTAGCCAACGCGTATGACGTCACGATTGTTGGGCAACTGCAGCACATTGCGCAGCTCTGAGGCGCTCCTGGCCGAGGAGCCCTCATAGAGCGCCACCAGCACGCTGACCAGGGCGGTGGGCGAGAACGCAAAGTTATTCCGATTGAGTATGGAATGGTAGTGGAGCAGCCGATGGGTTAGATCGTTGGTCAGATCGACCATGACCTCGGCTGGTGTCAGCTGCCTGGCCAGCACCTGTGGCAGATGCTCCAGTTCCAGTGGCGTTAACGGCGCTGGTGGCAGCGGTGGATGGGGAAACCCACTGGCGCGAAACTCTTCGTGATCGATATGTATATAGTGGGCGTGGCAGGGCAATAACAGCAGCAAAAGCCCGGCTAAGCCGCATAGCAGGCGTGTGTCAGAGGTCATGATGGGTCTGACCTTGCTCAAATTAATATAAATGCACATTGATAATTGCCTTAACTTTGTTTGGTTTTTTTTTTTTTTTATAATTCCCAACTGCAACTGAAGCATGAAGTCCGTTTAGCAAAAAATGTGGCAAATTCGGTACGTGCTCATGAATTGCATTATTTTCGCCTCTAATTGGAAATGGTTAGCTCGAATTCAAGGTTCTGTAATTTTCCCAACTGTCAATCGTATCGCGTTTCACACATTTTCGCATCCAATTCGCTTTTTTTATTAAATTTTTATTTCAATTTTCGGAGCCGATTGTCCAACTGATTCCCGTGATTGCTGCCGGCAAACTGAAACTTAAATGAAATTGTGGAACGTGCAGCACTTGGCTCGAAAATCAAATCCGATCGATGTGTTCGGCAGCTGTGACGCTTTAGCGTGAGTGTTTCGGAATTACTTGAAGCAGCAGATACATAAGCCATGGCGATTTATAGTCGTTCCCCACTCCAAACGATATCATCTGTTGTAATTCCGCATAGGATGCGCTCGTAGAATCCTAAAGCGACCTGTTTAGCTAAGCTATGCTATGCCAAGGGTACTCAACACTGTGGCAAATCGCGTTAATCGCATCTCCTGACTGCTTTGCCATGTCAATCAAATAGTTAGTACGTTAACTAACCAGCAGGCTTTTTATGGTATACAATATCGCTGATATGGACAAGCAACAGCAAATGCCCGATTAAACGCCTGTCAGTTCATATTTATTTTCCAATTGTCACACGATTATCGCAAGGCATTTGACTAATTGATTTTATGCACTTCACTTCAGTCGCCTAAAGGTTTTCCAGTTGCAGTAAAAATGTCCTGGGGAAAGCACCTCGTCTACGCGTGGATAACTTATTTTGTAGCAATTTGTGGAATCGGTAGATTCTACTTTGACGTCCGGACTGGCAAAGTGATCAAATCGAGCTATTTGTGCTATTATAGTAGACTATTTAATCTGTTTACTCTAAGCACTTTCCCAGCGATGATATATGTATACGCGTTTAACCCTGCTTGGTTTAATACCGAATCCACAATAATATCAGCCTGCATTATGGCATATCCTGTCATTGTATTGATTTCAGTACTAAGCTGCATATTCTGTGTCGAACGCTGGCAGCATAGGATAATCAGGATGATTGAGGAGCTGCTGAAAATGGAGGATTTTAGCATCGGACTAAACTATTGCGTCACAGCAGCAGAGAAGCCATATCTACATCGGATATTTTGGTTAAGATTTATAATTATAATCCCACGAGCGGTTGTGCTTCTTTTACGGATTTTCAACAACAACGTCGAAGTTTACTTTTTGCTTAATTCATTCATAACAAGAGTTATGAGGGGCGGATTATACTTTCTAGTGTTTAATCTCAACTGGAAAATATGCCTAACATTCTTGAACCTACAGCTTTACCTGGAGCATTTATATTGTGTGACTATGCCAATGGCAAGGAGAGTGCAAAAAATACTGGAACTACAACGGATTTACTATAGACTTATCCAGATGACTAACGAGTTATGCATCATTTTCAAATATCCGATGGTTTGCTTCTTGCTTCAACTGATTTGCAATACCTGTTTGAGTGGATACCTATCAATTCGACATGTGTTTGGAAAGCCCTCAAAAACCGACGCTTCTAAAACTGATCCTATAGTTGTAATTCTATGCATCGTTGATGTATTGGAGTTCTACCTCCATGCCAGTATCGCTCATTTGACTGCTAAACTTCATGATAGTACATTTCATATTTTACGGTACCCACACCCAAACTCAGAGCTACTGGAGCGCAGTGTGAGTATCAGAAGCACTTGGGTAAAATTTAAAGTAATTTACAATATTTTAGAATGACTGGTTAGCCCTGCAACTAACATGGCAAAACAAGAATGTCCACATCTTTGGGGTACTAACCATCGATCTGCACTTAGTCTTTGGAGTTATAATCAGCATCATAATTCACATTATATACGTGTTACAGAGCGACTATGCCTACATCGAAATATAAACATAAGATGTGAACTTATCAACTTTTTATTTATATTAAAATTACAATATTCCAACCATCTTAAGATATACTTAAGAAGGGGCAGCATATTAAATCGCAGTTTGTAATTCCTAATTTTACAAAAGCTGGCTTCATATTTTTTACATTATAATAGAACAGTTTACAATGG